CCCTGCCACCCCCCCCCTCCCCCCCCCATATGGGATGGGTCCCATATACTGGTCCCATATGAGATCTTCCCCTTCCCCCCCTGTGGTGTGGTGGGGGTGTGGCACTGTCCCACTCCCCCCCCTGTGGTGTGGTGGATGGGTCCCATATACTGGTCCCATATGAGATCTTCCCCCTCCCCTCCTTGTGGTGTGGTGGGGGTGTGGCACTGTCCCCCTTCCCCCCCCTGTGGTGTGGTGGATGGGTCCCATATACTGGTCCCATATGAGATCTTCCCCCTCCCCCCACCTGTGGTGTGGTGGGGGTGTGGCACTGTCCCCCTCCCCCCCCTGTGGTGTGGTGGGGGTGTGGTATGGTATGGTGGGTATATGGTATGGTAGGTATGGTATGGTAGGTATGGTATGGTAGGTATGGTATGGTAGGTATGGTATGGTAGGTATGGTATGGTAGGTATGGTATGGTAGGTATGGTATGTAGGTATGGATGGTATGGATGGTATGGATGGTATGGATGGTATGTATGGTATGGATGGTATGGATGGTATGGATGGTATGTATGGTATGGATGGTATGGATGGTATGTATGGTATGTATGGTATGTATGGTATGTATGGTATGTATGGTATGTATGGTATGTATGGTATGTATGTATTGTATGGTATGTATGTATTGTATGGTATGTATGTATTGTATGGTATGTATGTATTGTATGGCATTCTTGCATGTATGGTAGGACGGTTATATGTTCACAGAGGGTCGTCTGTTGTCAGAGTACACAGGTAGTCACAGAAGTAGATACAGTAGATACATAGCACATAATAGTATGACTCTAGGTAGCACGTAGGTACTTTGAAGGAGTATGTGTGCTACGTAGGTCGCCTAAAAGGTAGCATGTACCTAGTAAATGCGAGGCTGGTAGTCAGAAATGCTGCAAAGACCTAGCAAATACGAAGCTGGACCTCAGAAATGCTGCCAATAGCTTGCAAATAGAAGGGAATTGGGGCTACTACCTGGGGACCCAACCCATGGGGGGGGGGTGGAGAGACGGAGGACGGGACCATATATATATATATATATACATATATACATATATACACATATACATGTATACATGCATTACATCATATGAATCATGTATCATACGATGCAAATATATAGCCATTGCATCCTATCTCTGGTAGTTAAATCCAGCTGAGACTGGCACGTAGTGTAGGCGAATCGTGGACTCTCGCTGGAGCACCTGAACACTGCTGAACGCTCGAAGTTGTGGACTCTGTGGGTGATTAGTGGTGATTTAATGGTGATTTAATGGTGATTTAATGGTGATTTAATGCGGATATAATGGGGATGCAATGGGGATAAAAATGATGCATATACATATATATGTATATACATATATATGTATACATATATATATATACATGTATATATATATATACATATATATGTATGTATATATATATACATATATATATATACATATATATGTATATATATATATACATATATATACATATATATGTATATATATATATAATTATATATATACTGTATATATAATATAATATTATTATAATTATTATAATTATTATTATTATTATATATATGTATGTATGTATGTATCTATCTATTCTAATGGGTTTATGACATGCTTTCATTGTGATTTAATGAGGGATGGAAGATAGGGATACAAACGATGGGATATTTGATGGAATCTAATGAACCATAATCAATGGAGTTAATGGGATTTCATGCGGATATTTGATTTATTTATTTATTTTCACAGCATTAACTTATTTACGGGTTTGTCTGAAAACATGGTACCTGAAGCATCCCATCGTTGATCATATCGGTTTCAATACGGCCTGTGATGTCAAACCCCTTCTGACAATGATCCTTTGGTTTCATTTTCATGGGGAAGCTTTGCCAAGAGTCACCCTACACCCTTGCAATTCAATATGGGGTTCAAACAAAAACAAACAATGATTTTCCTGCTTGATACAACCATGCTGTATGGGCTTTCCATGCTGATTTCCGTACAATCCCTGCGCTGTTGATCACCAGTCGTTGGCCCAACGTGGGTGGAGAAACCAACCCCAGGCCTCGCAGTGGCCCAACAAATGCCCAACAAAAACACCCAGCTGGGTGTGAAAATTGGGTACCCTCAAATCTCATATTATTGAACCTCACTTTCCCTATTAAAAAATCACAATGTAGGGTGTAAGCCCCACCATGGACATAGGTTTTTACATGTTTTACCCTCTGGTAATCAAACATAACACAGGAAAACTCATCGGAACCTCCTTCATTTTCCAGGATCTTCCCAGCATTCAAAACCTCCATGGCACGGAGCTTCACCACCGTATTTCTTGCGAAACCTCTAGCTAAATCCATCGAATTTCCAGAAAAAAATCCCCACTTTCCCAGCTATAAACCTCCATTGGTTGATGGGGATTTCCCGAAAAACCCTCTGGTAATTTAACACATACATAGTTGATTTACATTTACCCACTATGATTAGTGATTTTCCATAGCTCCATAGCTATGTTAGTGTACCAAAGGGTAGCTTCCGAAGCCCAAGGTCACCTTGGCGGTGTGGGCCATGATGCCAGGTTTGTGCAACGTGGGCTGACGATTCACCAGCAAAGGATCACCTGGCGCATGGGATTATGGTCCATAATTCTCCCTGAGAGTTGGGATGATTGTTGAATATTTGATAATATTCCCAACGTTCAGGGAGAATTGTGTAATCATATCATTATGGATTATGTTGGGATTATCGTTAAAACATATTGAATCATTGTGGAAAATGAGTGGTTATCATGGGATAAACTATTTTTGAGATCATTATGGGATAGAATCCAGTAGCCAATCACATGGCAACGGAGATGCACATTCCAACGAAACACTCAATTTCCAATTGTCCAAAGGATTGGTAGATAAACATCATCTTATATACATATAAATAAACTAACATAATATAGTATGGCATACTATAATATATATGTGATGTGATATATATATATATATGTGATACACAATACACAAAACATACTACACAACACAAAATCTATACAAAATACGTGAGACATACATTGTACAGTGACATCTAATATAAACAAACAGTATCATAGTATGGACCCCGGGCACCGTCTCTGAGGTGGCGAAAGACGGTATAGGGCGGTTTTCCGCTCCTGGGGAAGAGGGTTGGTGACCTATGCTGGGAAAATGGTAGATTTGTCTGGGTAAATTGTAATAATTCACTAAGCTGAATTAAGGCCACTTGGGGATGATTTCCCATATCTAACCCATGATTCCAGTGAGGGAGAACAGTGAGGTCGTTGTAATTCACCCAGAGTTGTGGGATTCATATGGGATTTACGGGGGATATTACGGATGATATAGTGGGATACAGTGGGATAATAAGGGTTTATTAAGGGCTTGTGAACCAGCAACAACCACTTTTCGGACTTCTTAACTTGGGGAGGTGGGTTAAATCATGTTAAATATCATCCCAAAAAGCGGTTGAAAACACACATGTTTGAAACCACCAAGCAGATGTTCCGTGGATTTTTCATGGATTTTCCCAAGAAGAATTAGGGGTATCGATTTCCATGGTTTGTTGACAAAAAACATAGCCAGGTGCGAGCCTCTCGTGGTAGTTATCATCCCTTCCAAGAAAAAAACTCGAAACCCTGGTGGAATGCAGCAAAGTTCTTCTCAGATCTTCTGAGAGGGACGGGTTACTCACTAGCTTGAGCTAGATAGAGAACGGAAAACTGTAGGGGAAACAATGGTTTTAGCTACACCATGGAGGCACACATTGTATACCAAGTCTGGGATGTAGTTGGAAGGCTCTCCCGCCCGGAATGGTGGTGAAATCCCGACTTAGGCAGATGAACGACATTTATCCGACAATCAAACATGAGAATTGACACCATCATCGATTCCTGATGGATTTTGACAGCATCCCCACACTTTGGGGGGGGAAACCGCGTCCTTCCCTCACGAAAAACACATTTGAGATGCGTCATCCAACAGCAGACCGACCCTTAATCTAAGAGTTTCCAACCAACTTGTGACCAACGTCCGGAAAAAATGGGAGAAGCGTCCCCAATCAAGAAATTATTGTGTATCGTTTCCTCATCTAACTTGCTTACACATAGTTGTTAGGGTATCTACTCATATCTTTTGGGTATAAAGCCATGTAGTTGAATTTCTCTGTATTTGTTAGCTACACCAAATCCATTGATTAACCACCACCAGAGGATTTAGAACGGCCCAAGAGAAGCGACGTCCTGACGTCGCTGATGAGTTGCTTCGCCAGCAATTCTCTTTTCTCCTGTTGAGCTTGTCCGTCTTCAATGGTTGGGAGAAGCTAACAAGAAACCCGGTGCATGCTTAGCCGCAAAACGCCCCCAGATTTTTTCGGCTTTCCATTGGCTTTCCCATAGATCTAAATCCTTGAACAAGGCCAATCAACATCCTTTGCCATCCTGTGACTAACGGTTGTTCAATAAGGGAACCCATCCAAATTCACTAACGAAAACGAGTGGTTGGTAAAGGACATCAATTGGATCATTCCTAGAACTGACTTAAATCTTAATCTGCTGGTCCTGCTGGTCCCAAGATCTCAAGCTCTCAAGTCCCAACGTCCACCGGCTAACCAGCCACGGAGTGTCAATCATCAGATCAGCCAGGAGCAGAGTTTTCAGGACGTCTACAACTCGGTTCCGAAACTCTCCGTGGATGCTTTCCCTAAGAGCCTTCACTGGATCGATGTGGATCCCTTAATCCTGGATCAGAGGAAGTGTGATACCAGTTTTGTAGCCGTTTTCGATCCTCCTCAGTAGTGAAATTTTGAAAGTGTTTTTTTTTAAGACTCTACAGTAGATTTGACATATATATATATATTTACTATAGCTTCCTTCACCCAATTAGATGTGATTTCTTTGTGTCGATCGGGATCTACTCCGTTCGCTCTGATTCCTTGAATGGATCAGATCAAAAAATGACATCTGGTCATCTGGTCATCACCATAACATCTGCTTCATGCTATCTGTAAAACTCGTGTATTGTCGATAAAACACAAGACATCAAACAAATATAAAGAAATCATAAGACTATAGATGTTCCCATGTTTTTTCATTTAATTCAAGAACTACAACGGGCGATCGCCCTGGAAATCCCTGGAACTGAAGCTGAACGCTCCGACCTCATCGAGTAGCCGCAGGAGGATGATGACTTTGCCTCCGTCCGGGTTCGGTTTATGCACCTGCCATGACGCAGCTCGGTGGAGCCAATGGAGATGTTGTTCAGCACATTTCATGGGAGTTGCACCACTGATTTCATGGGGATTTGAGTGGATTTCATGGGGAGTTAAGTGGACATGAACAGGGATAACTATTAAGGTTTTGACCATGGCACATATGGATACATATGGGATATGTAAGACAAGTTGGCACATGGACATGTTGTCGCCACCATTTATTATTGATTGAATTTGCTGTCGTTTTGTTATCGTTCGAACACCACTACATCTTACCTTTTTGGGATATGTTCACTTTAGGAATGGATCATACGGGATATATATCTATATATCTATATATGTCTTTTTCTAGTTTCTGGGATCGAAGTGACGTGCTAGTGCGAAGGGTTGCAAATGTTGGGTATTGAGCTGATGTCCAGCACCATCACCTGCGAGGTGGGAAAATACCGTGTCTGAAACTCAAGCGGAGGCAGTCTTCATCTCTCATTGCTGCAAGGTGATTCCCATTTATAGATGATTTTCCCATTCTATAAGACCTCCATTTGTGGATGATTTTCCCATCAAAAGCTCCATTTATAGATGATTTCCCATGAACATCTCCATTTATCAATGCTTTTCCCATTCAAACCTCCATTTCAAAATGATTTTCCCATCATAACTTTTATAACCTCCATTTTTCTTAGGGATTTCCCCCCACGCCTCGCAAGCTCCAGGATATTGTGTGCCACGGATCACCAACTTCCGCAACCACTCCACGTTGTACGGTGCAGCGACCTGGCGCCGACAGCTCGACCCATGGAGGAACTGGTCAGTTGGGATTATGAACTTCCCAACTGAATGGAAAGTCATAAAATGCCATGGTTCCAAACCACCAACCAGAGGAATATCTTAGAATCATAGAGAAATCATATGAAATCATGACCAATTCCTGCTCACTTCATCTTCTATTTCTATAGCTAGTTTCTGATTCTGTAGGCACAATTCACCAATTTGCTCCAAGTATGTCCAAGTGAAAGCTGCCATCAAAACCAGGCGGCCATCCCTGGCCTCTGGGTAATACAAACCTGCTGCAATCTCCTCTGGAACTCCAATCCTTGGCCGTTTGACCAAGGGTAGGATCAAGTGGAAGGACACCTTCCAAAAATTTCAGACCAGACAGCCTGAAATGAACCATTTCAAATCTGGGTCTGAAAAAATACCACCTAAAATCTGGTGGTTTTGAACCTCATGTTCATTTGTTCCCTATAAACATGAGCATATCTCAGGGGGTCAATTCATGTAAATTAACCATTTTCAGGTATCAAACCCATTTAAGAAACTCCGGCAAGTCATGGCAAACCCCCACCACCAGCTTTGGGGGTCACCAAACGATGCCTGAACTCTCAGGAGCAGATAGCCTTGTTGGAACAAGAAGCCATCCTACTACAATGGGCGCCCTAGTACTTATGACTGGGGCTCCTAAATAACCCAATCGACTATGAGGCAAACCCCAAGGTTCTGGGTTGCTTATGAAAAGTGATCTAACCTGGCAGTGAGACATACCAGAAATCTCTGGCTTCAAATGTTTGTTTCCTCACTAAGCCATCTTACTACCGGCAAATATATTCATAAATAATTCATATTCCATTGCCACGGTAGACATCAAGTTACATCCGGAACCACATAACCATGCCCGAAACGATCGGAATTCAATCATGATCTTTACTTCCGATTCATCGCCAATTTGCTCTAAAGATATGGCTTTGTCTGAAAATCGAGTCCCTAATTTTCCCATTGCTTCATCATCAATTAAGCATCATCCCAAAATTCAAACAGCAATTTTGGAGGTATCTTCCATTTTCAGACACGTCGGCCATATCTCAGATTTCCCCCGCAGCGACCAAGGCACTCCGAGGGCTCGATATTGGGATCTGGGGAGATCACGGAGCGGGCCGCAAAGTTCACACCTCGAACTGGAACTCATCGGCCATTTGATGATGATTTACCTATGACCTATGGAACATGGATCCAAGTACCTTCTCAGGAAGTGTTTGGGGTATAATTTACTATAATTTGGAGGCTTAAGTACCTTCTCAGACAGTGTTTGGATTCATAGGGCTATGGAACATGGTGATTTTCCAGGGCCCCATTTCTATAGGTGATTACTGTAGCCATGGAACGTTCCTGGTCCATTTAGAGGTGATTCATGGTGATTTTCCAGTTCGCAAACAGGTAGATTACTAGAGGCTATCACCAACAAGAGAAATTATAGTTGCAAGTCTCAAAATTGGAGACCAAAGCTGATGGGGTTGCCTGGTCTTTCCCAGAGTCTGCCCACGTCAGGAGAATCGGCAGAGAATCTGACTGCTTCTTTGTCAAAATCCCGATTTGCAGGGAACATGTACAGTTGAACCCTGTGTATTTTGGGGTAACTACCTCGGTGTCCTGCTCTTATTTTCCCTTGAAACCAACTAGACTATGCAAGGACTAAACCAGACACTTCTCTACCCAGTCGCCTTGGACCCCTTCGATCGAAGTTGAAATCTCCAACTTCAATATATAGACATAATTAAACTTGAACAGTTGCACCATGTCTGAACATGCTGAACCCTTCCAGCATTCAACCTGTAACTTTGTTGGTAAACCATCGTGAAATTATGGTGATGTGATGCTTGGGGTTCTACATTCAAGGGAATGGCAGTGGTTAAACATGATTCATCCGCACAACAAGTCTGCGGATTTACTTCTATGTTCACCCCGCTTGGTATGTGCTTAGTACCCATGGATACCCATGGTAGTTCTCACACATATATATATATACACACACATTTGGGTAGGGGTCAAATTTGGGTACCCCGGTGCAAGTGATTGAATGTGAGCTGTTGAGGTGACAACGCATCTCCCGCAGCTCATGAAGCCCTCTAGGTAGTTGGTAGCATCCTTTACTCAGGCATTTGGCGCCTCGCCATAGAAACTTGCTGTGCTGAGTGGTTTGAACCTGACCTACCGTCTGTTGGCCTTCACGGTAGCGGAGCTCTTTGGCATCCACGGGCGATCTGAGGCCTTACTCGAGCATCTCGAGGACTTGGGGCCATGACGGTGACAAGGACACGGGATGGTGTCCCAGGATGGTCAGGGGATCCCTCAACATGGTTGGAGTTCAAGCAGGCAGCCAGGTTGTACGTAGCGTCAACAAAGGTAGAGAACAGATACACATGTGGGCCAAAAATAGCAGCTGAACTCACAGGGGCAGCGAAGACTGCCATCACAGGGAAGAAGAGCACATGGCTCAGTGATGCGAGCGGCGCCGAGACTCTGCTGCAGTACCTTCAGTCCACCATCGGCGAGCCAGCGTTGCCGGAGGTGGGGAACTTCATGCGGCAGTATTTCAAGGTGCTCAAAAGGAAGAGAGGAGAGGCAATGACGGCCTTTTGCGTTCGACATCGTGAAGAGTACGAGCGCATGTGCAGGTCGCTGGCACGCATGGTGCGGGAGCACAAGCAGGGCCATGGGAAAAAGGCGGCAAGTGTCGGCACAAAGACCAACTCAGAGCCAGCCCCGTCACAGCCACCACCCTCACAGACAGGGGCGGATGACAACCTAGAGGGCGATGATCCATCCACCTCTGCGGCAGGGAACTCTGATGGCAACACATGGCAAGCAAACCCTTGGTGGAGCAGCTCCTACTACGGGTGGCAGTCAGGATGGGGATGGCATCAACCATGGGGGAGTTGGTCCTATGACAAATGGTATGACGAGGGGAGCAAGACAGCCCTCAGCACGGTCAGCGAATGTGAAGATGAGGACAAGGTGGAGATCCTGCCGGATGCCGTGCTGGGCTGGTTCCTCTTGGAAAAGTCGGGCTTGGACACCTTGGAGAAGAGCGTCATCCAGGGAGAGATCAAGGGGGATTTCACCCTGGCGGGCGTCGAGCATGCCCTTCGAAGCCACTGGTCAGACGACCAGATACGCAAGCGAGACGGAGATGCAAAGCATGTGGCGGCCTTTCAAGACGAAGATGAAGACCCACCCTCGGACGAGGATGAGGCTTTGACTGAGGAGATGACACCCGAAGAGATGTCCTGGTACCAGGAGGCCAAGGCTGACGAGTACAAGGCATATGCACAGTTTCAGCAAGCAAAGAGGACACTGAAGGAGGCCAGAGCTCGCCAGCATGAGGTGAAGTTGGCTCGGAAGTACTACAAAGTTTCCTCTACGTCTTCCAGTTTGGGAGGCAAGACGTTCTCAGGCAGCCGGCCTGTGAAGGGCCCATGCTTCAAGTGTGGGGCAATGGGTCACCAGGCCAAAGAATGTCCAAAACGTGAAGAACGAGCCCAACTGGTGTCGGAAGCCGAGGAGCTTGCTGAGTACACCACCTACTTCACGGTCGATGACGAGTCTGTGCACGGTCAGGAGGGCACGATCAAGGACACCATGAATGGCAATTGCGATGAGCTGGCCATGACGGCCCAATCCATGCCACCCACGACGTTGGAGGCCATCCATCAGGGCAAGGCCATCATCGATGGGGGGGCCACCAAGACAATGGCGTCAGTGTATGCCTTGGAGAAGCTCTCCCAGGCCAACATGGACAAGCGAGGTGAGTCAGGCGTGGCCAAGGTAGATGGCCACAACCGACCCATCTTTGGCTTTGGAAACTCCCAGAAAGCGAAGTGCCTGAGCACATGCATCATGAAGATTCCCAACCAGAATCAGCCTATGAACCTGCAGGTGCATGTGGTTGACGAAGGGCAAGCTCCAGTCCTTCTGAGCGTGGACACACTTCGCAAGCTGGGTGCCGTGATCGATTTCACCAAGGATCAGGCAGTTTTTTCCAAGGTAGCGCCTGATGTAGTAGTCCAGTTGGAAAGGTCTCAGACAGGGCACCAATTGCTGCCATTGTCGGAGGATTTTTGTAGCCAGGGTAGGAAGCTGTCTAGGGAGATTTGTAGCCTGGAGTCATTGGTAATTCAGGAGTAGGAAACCAAACTCAGCTCAGGCGAGCCTGTACCTGAGTGTGAGGCCAAAATGACCACAGGCAATGGTGTTTCCGAATCTTTTTCTAAACCCCAAACCACGAATTTTCAGGGAAGCAGCCACGAAGACTCACATGACAGCACTCACATGAGCCAAAATCGTCAAGTACCAGAGTCGTGCGGCACTATCTCAAGTAGATGTGATGACAAGCCCCTCTTTGCTCACAGTGTAGCTCCTCCGACTACATCTTCTCATCCCTCTTTGGCGCTTCTTGCTCATGGCGTATCCTTCGAACATCAAGGTCACCATGCAGGGCGAGAAGATGAAGCCCCACTACCAGTGCACCAAGAGCGAATGCGTTCAGGAGCTGCTACAGTATCAAGTGGTGGCACACAAGGATTTGACCCTCCAGGAGCTCCGGGTCCTTCTTCGCGAAGCTCGCAAGAAGGAGGGCATCATTGCTCCTCGCGAGGACAACACCATCATGGAGGAGATCAAGAAAGGCAAACTGGACACCCTGCGCCGTATGTGTGCGGCCCGGGACATTGGCATCAACTCCAAGACCACGGTTGGGGAGATGAGGTTGGCTCTCCGCCAATGGCTGATCGAGTCTGGCACGGGCGACACCACCTACGAGATTGGCCAGCATGCCGGGGCCACCTTCAACGAGATCATGCACAACAAGCCGGACTACATCCAGTGGGCCATCAAGGAGGTTCAGACAGCCCCTCAGGCAGACTGGCGCCTGATGCAGCTGGCACGCTGGGCCACCAAGATGCAGCACAACACGGATCTCTGGAAGGACGAAGAGGTGTATGTCACCAAGGAGATCAAACAGAGCTTGGCAACAAAGATGAAGCCAGCTGGTCAAGCGGGCCCACCACCAATGCCGTCCACGGCCACTTCCAGCCAAGAGAATGTCCAGGCCAACGACATGATGAACATGATGAAAACCATGATGGGCCAGATCCAAGTGCTCTCTCAGGAGCTACAGGAGGTGAAGTCCTCCCGGGCAGGCAGTTCCTATTCTGCCAAGACCCGCAAGACCACGAGCACCAATGGGGGGTTCGAAGAGATCGAAGTGGAGGAGTCTTAGACGAAGACTTCGAGAATCTCTACCAGGAGCCAGCGTGCCAAACAGCTTGGCTGACCGATGCTGAGAGCGCAAGAGTGAGAGATAGCATAGATCAGCTTGTTCCTAACTGTTGGGCATCTGTCACCGACACTGGTAGGTTGTTTTTGCTTGAGGTGGCCTGTTCACCAAATTCAACGCTCACGACTGAGGCACAGAAACAAGGGTTGTCAGCTGACCGAGCAGCACTGTTTAATGGACATGACCTCACCACCCCTGAAGGGCTTCGGAAAACTCTCAATTTGATTTCCCAAAAGAGACCCAAAAATGTTTGGATTTCCACGGAGTGTGGAGCTTTCTCTCCCATGCAGAATCTGAACCAGCGTAATGATCAATAAACAAGGGATTTGAAGGACAAACAGCGGGAAGCCAGAAAACAACATATTGGGGGTTTGGTTGTTGCCTATCATGCTAGGACCCTGGGAAGTGAAGTTCATTGGGAATGGTCACGTAGGTGTAGGGCATGGAAATGGAAACTGATCGACAACATGAGACAGCACATGAAAACGCAAACGGCCGTGGTTGGGGGTTGTCGAGTTGGTTTGGTGGATGAACGTACTGGTAAAGTTGTGGGAAAGGAATGGCGTGTGGAGACCACCAATGGGGATTTTGCCCAAAGAATTCACATCCCTTGTTTGAAGGAGGCCTGTCAAAAAGAACACACACCATGCGAGGGTCGTTTGACTAGGCAATCTGCCTTTTATCCACAGCAAATGGCTAGACATGTCATTCATCACATGAAGAATTCATGCCATGGGGTCGAGGACATGGGGGGTTTGTTCATGAAGGGTGCCCATCAAACTCATGATTACCAACCTGGTCAATGCAATTGTCGTTGGTTCCGGGATGGGGGACTTATGCAGGTGTGCCCAAAATGCCAACTTTCCTGGGAACCCCCAAAAAGTGTGAAGGGTAGTCATGAAGTTTTTGTTGGGGATGATGGGGATAACCCTGAAGGAATGGAGGAGGATAACCCTGAAAACCCCGAACAACGGCATGACCCCGAAGACCCCGGAAATGTTTGGGATGAAAGGGAGAAGAAAGACTGGGAACGGAAGTTGAAGTTGATTCATAGTGCAACCGGTCATGGGAGTGTGGCTTCACTGGTGGATGCCCTCAAGAAACGTGGGGCGGCCCCCAAAGTCATCCAACTGGCTAGGGAGTTTGTTTGTGATGTCTGTGAGGAGCGGAAACGTCCCAATCCTAGGAGAGTTTCTACTTTGGAAGTTATTCCCAAAAGATGGCGTGTGGTGTTGGTGGACTGTGCTGTTTGGAGACACCCCAAAACTGGGAAAAGGGCGGTTATCGGTTTGTGCATGGATCAGGGGAGCCGGTTTTTAGTTGGGAAAGTGTTGGTGGAGCATACTACCCAAAATCCTAATGCGGAACAATACCAAAAATTCTTTGAGGGACATTGGGAGCCTTACTTTGGGGTGCCTGAAGTCTTGCGGTGTGATGCTGAAGGTACATGGAGGTCTAGGAAATTGGATGAGGCTTTTGCTAAAAAGAATGTTTACATCGTGTGACGCTCACTGGCATTTGTCACCCTTGGAAAGAAGTGTGGGCTGGATCAAAGAGTTTCTGTCCAAACAAATACATGAACAGGCCGACATGACCACCACCTCAGCTCTTGCCGCAGCCATTTTTGCTTGGAACCAGAGGGAACCCGTGAGGGGTTTCTCTCCTTTTCAGCACGCCCTAGGTCAGGCACCAGACCTTGATGGTAGGTTTTTCGAAACGCCGGTGGGCGGACTTCCAGTAGGAGCAATGGAAAACCCCGAAGGGGAACTGGCACAACGACAAAACCTTAGGCTACAAGCTGAGGAGAAATTTGTCCGCTGGCAGGCTAAAGATCGAGTGGATAGGGCCCTGAATTCCAAAGGCAGAAAGCTTCCGGAGTTTTTTCCGGGAGATTTGGTCTTTTTCTGGCGCAGCTGCATCAAAAAGAACCAAGACGGCACCCGCATTCAGACCGGTACAGTCGGTGGCTATGCTGGACCAGCCCGGATTTTAGCCTTGGAGACCCGGCATGATGATGATGGTAAACTGAAGGGGAGTTCAGTGGTGTGGTTAGTTCGCAACAACCGACTGCTGAAGGCATCCATTCAACAACTGCGGAGAGCCTCCCAAAGAGAGACTGTGATGCATGAGCTTGAGCGACCACCAGAATTGCCGTGGACCATGACTGAACTAGCCAAACCACTGGGACGAGAGGAGTTTGATGACATATCCCATGAGGCCATGCCGGCCCATGTCGAGGATGAGACACCTCGCTACTGGGTTGAACCTCCTGCCAAGAGATTGAGGAAAAAGACGGCGGACTCTGTTTTTCGGCCACAAGCTTCAGAAGCCGCTTCATCGTCAGCGGGCCCAGTCCGCAGGGAACCACAACAACATCGAACAGATCCATACCCATCTCTTCTTGCTGAACAGGAACAACATACTGCTTACTGGGCAGATGAAACGGCTGCCATCTCCATAGAACTGGCACTGCCTCAATCTCGAAATGGATGGAAACAAATGGCGAAAGATCCACAAGCTTATCTGGCCTCTATGATGAAGAGAAAGGCTGTGGAGGTGCATGAGCGTCACATGGATGAGGACACAAAATCAAAGTTTCGCGAAGCAAAACAGACTGAAATGAACAAGTTTTTGAAGTCCGAGGCTATTGAAGCCTTACCACCTCATTTGCAACCCTCCAGGCAACAAGCCATGCAAATGCGATGGCTGCTCACCTGGAAGGTAGATGGGGACGGAAAAACCGTCCCAAAGGCACGAATAGTGATTTTGGGTTACCAAGACCCGGCATATGAACATAGGGTTACGTATGCACCAACCACCACGCGGCATACCAGGCAAACAATGCTGCAGTTTGCGGCCAGCCAGGGCTGGTGGGCATGGAAGGGAGATGTTGCCGCTGCGTTTTTGCAGGGTCGTGAGTGTAAAGAGGATCTGTTTTGTATCCCTACCCCTGAATTGTGTGAACTGTTGCAAATCCCCAAAGAAAGTGTTGCCAAGTTGAGAAAAACGTGTTACGGTTTGGTTCAAGCTCCTTATGAATGGTATGAAACTGTGAAGGAATACCTGTTGTCTATTGGATATACTCAGTTGGGTTCTGATCCTTGTGCTTGGGTTTTGAAACAAAAAGGGAAAGTTCATGCGGTTATTTCTGGTCATGTGGATGATTTTATGTTTGTGGCTGATCCCCAAGACCCCATTTGGTTGGAATCTAAGAGGGAGATTCAAAATCATTTCCGTTGGGGAGAGTTTGAAGAAAACAGGTTTACTCAGTGTGGAGTTCAGATTGCACGACAGGATGATGGCGGTTTTCACCTTTCTCAAGAAAGGTACATGGAACATGTGAAAGAAATTCCCATGTCGCAGGAGAGACGGCGTGATAGGAAGAGTCCTACCACGGAACATGAAAAAACCCTCCTTCGGGGAATTTTGGGGGCCATGTCATGGCATTGTAGTCAAGTTGGTTTCCGTTTTTCTGCCTATGTTTCTTTGTCTTTGTCGGAAGTCCCTATTTCTACGGTTGAACATGTTCTTCAAGCCAATTCTTTGTTGTACAAAATGAAAGGCGCTTCTCATGAACCTCTTAGGATCCACCCAATTCCTCTTGATGAAGTTGAAATGTTTGCTTGGTCAGATGCTTCTTCACAAAATCGTCAAGGGGGTTATTCCACCAAAGGAATTTTTGTTGGGGCTGCTTCCAAGAAATTGAATGAAGGCGAGGTGGCACAGGTTTCTCCGATGTTTTGGCAGAGTTCAAAAATCACCAGAGTTTGCCGAGCCCCAGGGGCTGCAGAGGCTCGAGCTATAGTGGATGCTGAGGACATCCTGTACCTCATTCGATATCAGTGGGCCGAACTGTTAGGGTACTCACCGTGTTTGCGAGACCCCGATGCCATGGTGGCCAAGGTGAAGGGCACCCTCATCACTGATAGCCGCAGTGTCTATGACAAATTGCAGAGACCCTACATCTCACCCACCGGAGAGTCGAAGAGGATTGACATTGAGCTACTAGCTGTGAAGGAGTCAGAGATGTACACACAGCTGCAAGTTCGATGGGTGAACTCAGAGGCCATGCTTGCAAATAGCCTGACCAAGAGAGGAGAGGATCACCAGATGCAGCGCTACGTGGCATGTCGCCAGGTGTGGCGTGTGGTTGAAGATCCCGAGATGTTCTCGGGAAAGAAACTCAAACAGCAGAAAAGAGACTTGTTAGACATTGAAAAGGCTGCGGGGAATCCAAAAGATTCGGAAGTCACTAATGCCAATGTTTGATAGGTCTCTGTGGTTTTAGAAGAAAGCAGGGAAAACCCTGCCCACAAGGGCTTCAACTTTTTGGACGTAGTTCTTTACTTTTTAAGTGTAAAAGAAACATCTGAAGAACAAGAGGTTCTTCAGAAATGGGGGCCATGCAAGTGATTGAATGTGAGCTGTTGAGGTGACAACGCATCTCCCGCAGCTCATGAAGCCCTCTAGGTAGTTGGTAGCATCCTTTACTCAGGCATTTGGCGCCTCGCCATAGAAACTTGCTGTGCTGAGTGGTTTGAACCTGACCTACCGTCTGTTGGCCTTCACCCGGGTACCCCTGAAAATTGATGGTTAATATTGGTTAATACTAAACATAGACATTCGAACCTGTGGTCCCTCGAGTCTTAGACCAATCCCCAGTATATATAGATATTGGTTTCTGTGTCCTACATTTGAATTTGATGGTTTAGAACATCACATCATTTCCCATTCAAATTGCTATGCAGAAACATTATCCACATGTGCAGACACACCCAAATATGATATAAAAGTGTCGGATTGTTAGAGTGTAGCAGTCAAGTATCACACTGAATTACAAAAATCACCACAAAATCCGATGATGTACCGTTAAATCCCATTAAATCATATTAAATCCACTTAAGTCACCCTTAAATTCACTTAAAGCACCATTAAATAAAGAATCCATTAAATCACCATTGCAGTAAGTCACCAATAAATCCAGCATTTTCCTCAGCCGTCACTGGCGCAGGCAGGGCATCCACCAGAAAGTGAAGCTGAGTGCTGAGTGTCCTGACGCTTTCCCATCATCTTCATGCCTCGTGAAAATGGCATAAACAGCGGTTCTCATGTGTGGATTGTAAAGTCTTCGTAAGAAAAAAACAAGTTTTTTCCATGTGTTTTCCTTTTTTCCAAAGGGTAATCCCTATGAACGTGGATTGACCATCCCCTTTCTAAAATTGGCATATCCAACGTCTGAAGGGCTGCATCCACACTAGTCCCAAGCTCTGGTGGCGGGTACCAAGGCACAGGTGAGAACAACCCATCCCAAAAACACGGTCATGCTCGTCATCTCAACCAAACATCCTATGTATGGTTGAAAAGGAATACATACTTGAAACCGATTGAAACTGTATATCTACCTTTACATATATATGCTTACATGTATTTCAAGCATGTCACGTATGTATGTGTCTATATATATAATATATAATATACATTCATTTGTAATATATACATATGTAGAATTTCTATCTCATTGATGTTCATATTTGCCTAGGAAAGAAAATACCAGCGCCCCCCAAAAAAAACCGGACTTGCCAAGGTGCGAAAGAGGCCTTCCTTCTTCTCCAGAATCTGGCGCACTCCATCCTCCGAAACCTTGGGATTCCTCCCACCTGAGGTGCCAAGGTGGGCCATGGCCATCCAAGCCGTTTCGACCTGGATGATGTGTGGGTATTTCAGATGGTGAAAGCCCCAGGGAACGAAGCCTTGGTGATTCTTGGGACACTGAACCGGAAGCAGAACATCACTGTTCCCATGTTGAAACCCGCATGTTAACCATTGCTTTGATGGTTCAGCTCACGGCTAGTTTAAAGAAACTCTGCAAGACTATCTGGTGAGTAAATAATGTTGGATCCTGATTAGTGTGGGGATACTGAATTGTGTCCACAGACCTCAAAATTATTCTGAAACTTTGGAAATGATCGAGGGTACAGTTTTGTGTCCACAGGATTTTGGTGTAAGTTTTTTTTTCATTTTTTTGTTTTTTAGTTTTTAATTGTTTTTTATTTTATTTTAAAATTTTAAAATATTATTTATTTTTATTTTTAATTATAATTAATAATTTTTATAATAATTTTTAATTTAATTATTTTTTATTTTATTTAAAATTATTTTTTATTTTTATTTTTAATTATAATAATTTTATTTTTATTTTATTTTAAATTATTTATTTTTTATTTTATTTTAAATTATTTTTATTTTTATTTTTAATTATAATAATTTTTAATTTAATTATTATTTATTTTAATTTTATTTATTTATTTTTTATTTTCATTTCATTTTTAATTATAATAATTTTTAATTTATTTTTTTATGTTTAATTATAATAATTGTGTCATTGTGTCAGGATACACAATTGTGTCTTGGTCTTTTTTTGCTGTTCAAACATTTTTCATTTTGTTCATTTTTTAAAGCTTTTTCCTTTTACTTTTTATTTTCCATCATTGAAATTTTCCAGGTGCCTTCCACAGAAAATTACATCCAGGTACAAAATAGTGTGGTTTGTTTGGAGGGTACACTATTGTGTCCAGCTGCTTCCTGAGGTCGTGATTTTTTTTGGATTCTTTCAATCATTTCCTTTACCTTTTCCTTTGCTAGCTAAAGTGTTTTCCTTTTAATTAATTCCTTTCTTAGTTTCTTTCATTTGAAATTCCCAGAAATGCCAAATTTCCCAAAATATATGATGCCTTATTAAAACCCAATTAAAATTAAAAAACATGACTCAAACAATTTTTCAAGGGGGTAGTCCATGAGCAACCCTGATACAGAATAGTGTGGTTTGTTTGAGGGTACACTATTGTGTCCAGCTGCTTCCTGAGGTCATGATTTTTTGATTTTTTCAATCATTTCCTTTACCTTTTCCTTTGCTAGCTAAAGTGTTTTCCTTTTAAATAATTCCTTTCTTAGCTTCTTTCATTTGAAATTCTCAGAAATGACCAGTTTCCCAAAATATATGATGCCTTATTAAAACCCAATAAAAAAACATCACTCAAACAATTTTTCAAGGGGGTAGTCCATGAGCAACCCTGATACAGAATAGTGTGGTTTGTTTGAGGGTACACTATTGTGTCCAGCTGCTTCCTGAGGTCATGTTTTTTTTGATTTTTTCAATCATTTCCTTTACCTTTTCCTTTGCTAGCTAAAGTGTTTTCCTTTTAATTAATTCCTTTCTTAGTTTCTTTCATTTGAAATTCTCAGAAATGACCAGTTTCCCAAAATATATGATGCCTTATTAAAACCCAATTAAAAAAACATCACTCAAACAATTTTTCAAGGGGGTAGTCCATGAGCAACCCTGATACACAATAGTGTGGTTTGTTTGGAGGGTACACTATTGTGTCCAGCTGCTTTCCTGAGGTCATGATTTTTTTTTTTTTTCAATCATTTCCTTTACCTTTTCCTTTGCTAAAGTCTTTTTTCTTTTAATTGCTTAATTACTTTCTTAGTTTCTTTCATTTGAAATTCTCAGAAATGCCCAGTTTCCCAAAATATATGATGCCTTATTAAAACTCAATCAAAAAACATCACTCAAACAATTTTTCAAGGGGGTAGTCCATGAGCAACCCTGATACACAATAGTGTGGTTTGTTTGGAGGGTACACTATTGTGTCCAGCTGCTTCCTGAGGTTATGTTTTTTTTCAACCATTTCCTTTTCCTTTTCCTTTGCTAAAGTTTTTTTCTTTTATGGTATTTCTATGGTATTACTATTGGATTTCTATGGAATTCCTATGAGGTCTCCATGATGTTTCTATGATATTTCTGGAGGATTTCTATGGGATTTCTGAAGGGGTGCTATGGGAGTTCTATGGTATTCTTATGGGATTTCCATTGGATTCCTATGGGATTTTTATGGTATTTCTATGATCTTTCCTATGGAATTTCTATTGGATTCCTGTGGGTTTTCCAAGGTATTTCCATGATGTTTCTATGATCTTTCTATGGGATTTCTGTGAGATTCCTATGGGATTTCCATGTTATTTCTATGATCTTTCTATGGGATTTCTGTGAGATTCCTATGGGATTTCCATGTTATTTCTATGATCTTTCTATGGGATTTCTGTGAGATTCCTATGGGATTTCCATGTTATTTCAGTTATTTCTATGATCTTTCTATGGGATTTCTGTGAGATTCCTATGGGATTTCCATGTTATTTCTATGATCTTTCTATGGGATTTCTGTGAGATTCCTATGGGATTTCCATGTTATTTCTATGATCTTTCTATGGGATTTCTGTGAGATTCCTATGGGATTTCCATGTTATTTCTATGATCTTTCTATGGGATTTCTGTGAGATTCCTATGGGATTTCCATGTTATTTCTATGATCTTTCTATGGGATTTCTGTGAGATTCCTATGGGATTTCCATGGTATTTCTATGGTCTTTCTATGGTATTTCTGTGAGATTCCTATGGGATTTCCATGTTATTTCTATGATCTTTTTATGGGATTTCTGTGAGATTCCTATGGGATTTCCATGTTATTTCTATGATCTTTCTATGGGATTTCTGTGAGATTCCTATGGGATTTCCATGTTATTTCTATGATCTTTCTATGGGATTTCTGTGAGATTCCTATGGGATTTCCATGTTATTTCTATGATCTTTCTATGGGATTTCTGTGAGATTCCTATGGGATTTCCATGTTATTTCTATGATCTTTCTATGGGATTCTGTGAGATTCCTATGGGATTTCCATAGATTTTCTATGATCTTTCTATGGGATTTCTGTGAGATTCCTATGGGGTTTCCATGTTATTTCTATGATCTTTCTATGGGATTTCTGTGAGGTTCCTATGGGATTTCCATGTTATTTCTATGATCTTTCTATGGGATTTCTGTGAGATTCCTATGGGATTTCCATGTTATTTCTATGATCTTTCTATGGGATTTCTGTGAGATTCCTATGGGATTTCCATGTTATTTCTATGATCTTTCTATGATTTCTGTGAGATTCCTATGGGATTTCCATGTTATTTCTATGGTCTTTCTATGGGATTTCCATGTTATTTCTATGAGAGATTCCTATGGGATTTCCATGTTATTTCTATGATCTTTCTATGGGATTTCTGTGAGATTCTTATAGGATTTCCATGTTATTTCTATGATCTTTCTATGGGATTTCTGTGAGATTCCTATGGGATTTCCATGTTATTTCTATGATCTTTCTATGGGATTTCTGTGAGATTCGTATGGGATTTCCATGGTATTTCTATGATCTTTCTATGGGATTTCTGTGAGATTCCTATGGGATTTCCATGTTATTTCTATGATCTTTCTATGGGATTTCTGTGAGATTCCTATGGGATTTCCATGTTATTTCTATGATCTTTCTATGGGATTTCTGTGAGATTCTATGGGATTTCCATGTTATTTCTATGATCTTTCTATGGGATTTCTGTGAGATTCCTATGGGATTTCCATGTTATTTCTATGATCTTTCTATGGGGTTTCTGTGAGATTCTTATGGGATTTCCATGTTATTTCTATGATCTTTCTATGGGATTTCTGTGAGATTCCTATGGGATTTCCATGTTATTTCTATGATCTTTCTATGGGATTTCCATTCCCTTTACATTTTCCTTTGCTAAAGCTTTTTTTTTATTTTCTCAATTAATTTCTTTTATTTAGAATTCTCAGAAATGCTCAATTTCCCAAAATATATGATGCCTTATTAAAACCCAATTAAAAAACATCACTCAAACAATTTTTCAAGGGGGTAGTCCATGAGCAACCCTGATACACAATAGTGTGGTTTGTTTGAGGGTACACTATTGTGTCCAGCTGCTTCCTGAGGTTATGTTTTTTTCAACCATTTCCTTTTCCTTTTCCTTTGCTAAAGTTTGTTTCCTTTTACTTAGCTTCATTTTTCTTGGAATCAAAACCAAAGGCTTTCCAAAGGATTAGTTTCAGCCAAGCAAAAAAAACATGAATGATCATGATACACAATAGTATGGTTTGTTTGAGGGTACACTATTGTGTCCAGCTGCTTCCTGAGGTGATTTTTTTTGAAACATTCCCTTTACCTTTTCCTTTGCTAAAGTTTGTTTCCTTTTACTTAGCTTCATTTTTCTTGGAATCAAAACCAAAGGCTTTCCAAAGGATTAGTTTCAGCCAACCAAAAAAACATGAATGATCATGATACACAATAGTATGGTTTGTTTGAGGGTACACTATTGTGTCCAGCTGCTTCCTGAGGTGATTTTGTTTTTTAACATTCCCTTTACATTTTCCTTTGCTAAAATTTGTTTCCTTTTACTTAGCTTCATTTTTCTTGGAATCAAAACCAAAGGCTTTCTAAAGGATTAGTTTCAGCCAAGCAAAAAAAACATGAATGATCATGATACACAATAGTATGGTTTGTTTGAGGGTACACTATTGTGTCCAGCTGCTTCCTGAGGTGATTTTGTTTTTTTTACATTCCCTTTACATTTTCCTTTGCTAAAGTTTTTTTTCTCAATTAGTTTCTTTTATTTAGAATTCTCAGAAATGCTCAATTTACCAAAATATATGATGCCTTATTAAAACCCAATTAAAAAACATCACTCAAACAATTTTTCAAGGGGGTAGTCCATGAGCAACCCTGATACACAATAGTCTGGTTTGTTTGGGGGTACACTATTGTGTCCAGCTGCTTCCTGAGGTTATGTTTTTTTTTCAACCATTTCCTTTTCCTTTTCCTTTGCTAAAGTTTGTTTCCTTTTACTTAGCTTCATTTTTCTTGGAATCAAAACCAAAGGCTTTCCAAAGGATTAGTTTCAGCCAAGCAAAAAAAACA